CATACATGTGCAAAGGTTACACTTCGGTATATAATGCAACTTTACTATATTATTTATATAGTATTATTTACTATAAAAATGATTTATTATAAAGCATATGTTCACTACACTTCCCTACCCTACAGTGCTTATGAGGTGATCAAACTGAAAGGCTACACATCCTGGGCCATTGGACTATCTGTGGCAGATTTGGCAGAAAGTATAATGAAGAATCTTAGGCGTGTGCATCCGATTTCCACCATGATTAAGGTAGGTCTATGTAGTAATAGGTTTTACTTGAATGCCATTATTTCCTGTTCTTTAAAAGAAAAAAAACTTCTGAGAAAGCAATTAATGTTAAGTCCTCAATCATTGATTTAAGTGAAATAAATTAATGCACCTGCAACTTTCTTTTCTGAAAAGACGTGTTGAGCTTTAGGATTAATATCCACCAATACTGTGTTGAGCACATAGATACTTGATAACTTGTTGACTGAAAGACTTTACTCAATTTTGTTGAGATGGGTGGAAGACTATAAAACAAATTTTTTCCTTTGGGAAAAACAGAAATCACACTCAGGTTAGAGTTACCAAAGTGTTATACAATAAAAACGGGGAATTCCCTGGCAGTCCAGTGGCTGGGACTCCGTGCTCTCACTGCTGAGGGCCCAGGTTTGATCCCTGGTTGGGGAACTAACATCCCACAAGTCTCGCGGGGCAGCCAAAAATAAATTGCAAAGTACGATGGATAATGGCACTAATTTAGATTTTCTTTTGGAATGGAAATCTTGCTGCTATGTTAATGACTTTCTTTTACACTGTTCATTACATCCTAACTGAAATTCTGGAAAGGAATTTCTACTTATCAAGTTGTATTAAGTAAGCTTCATAACTGTAAAGAATGAAATTCTTGGGAGATCCCAGAATGCATAGAAAAAACGTAAAATATTTTTCATTTCATCCTCAGGGTTTCTATGGAATAAAAGAGGATGTCTTCCTTAGTGTTCCTTGCATCTTGGGACAGAATGGAATCTCAGATGTTGTGAAAGTGACTCTGACTCCTGAGGAACAGGCCTGCTTGAAGAAGAGTGCAGATACACTGTGGGGGATCCAGAAAGAGCTGCAGTTTTAAAGTCTGATATCATATACCACTTCACTGTCTAGGCTATAACAGGATTTTAGTTGGAGGTTGTGCATATTGTCCTTTATATCTGATCTGTGACTAAAGCGGTAATGTTAAGACAGCCTAGGAAAAAACATCAATTTCCTAACATTAGCAATAGGAATGGTTCATAAAACCCTGCAGCTGTATCCTGATGCTGCATGGCACTTATCTTGTGTTGTCCTAAATTGGTTCGTGTAAAATAGTTCTTCCTCAAGAGATACCACTGACAATGTTGCAGATGCGGCAGTTGCCCTTCAAACCAGATGTGTATTTAACTCTGTGTTATATAACTTCTGGTTCCTTTAGTCCAACTTTTTTTCTCCAATTAATCACATTCTGGGATTGATTATAAATCCAGTATTGCATGTCTTGTGCATAACTGTTCTAAAGAATCTTATTTTATGTACTATATGTATCAGAATAGTATACATTGCCATGTAACGTAAAAAAGAAAAATCAACATAAATAATGCAGCCAACTATCTGTTTTACCAGCTAAAACAATAAATAAACCTTGAACAGTGACTACTCTGCTAATTTATTAAGATACAAAGTGATAAAGCTGTTATTTGTTAATTACATTAACGGGAGCCATTTGGTTATTCTTGGGGAACACTATGATGATTTTTTAAGGGGTACTGTTTCTAATGACCAGACTTTAATAAGAATTAATATATTAAGGGTGTGACTAGATTGACTAGCTGTTTTGTTACCATTTCCATTTTAATCGTTTTAATATACTAAGGCCCAAAGTATTGAGATAACTTGATTATAGTGCTAATCATAACTTGTACCCTACAGTTCACACACGTAACATTCTATACATGAATGTAAAAAACATTATTTGCCAACTGAACATAAGCAGTGGTACTTTGCCACTACAGGGGCACAGAAATTTTTAAGAACCTTTACTCTCTGGAGGCAGTAACATAATGGTACTTAACAATTTTAAAACAAATAGTCCTGGTGGTTGTCTACTCAAAAATTTTCTTTAAAAAAGAAAAATTTTCTTCAGATTTCCCTTAAAATATTTCTATAACTGTGACCTTCTCCAGGCCTAAAAACCATACTTATAGAGGTTAGCTAGAACAACTTTATGGTCATCACTCCTCCAGGATTTTTTTTCCAAAGTTTCCTTCTTGAGAGCTAGATAAGGGAAAGAATTATGTTTTGTTTTGTTTTTTAATGTGTCTCAAATGTAGAAGGACAAGACTAACCTACATAGGCTTGACAATTAGCTGTATAATAGGATTTGCTTTTTTACAGGCTTTGAAAAAAATAACAGCCTTAAGATATAATCTACATAGAACAAAATTCACCCTTTTAAAATGTACAATTCTGTGGATTCACATAGTTGTGCAGCTATTACCACTATGTAAGAACTTTTTAATTACCCCCCAAAGAAATGTGCAGTTATTCCTATAGCCTTTTGTAGACTTTGATTCATCTTTAGTCTTTAAAAAAGAAAAAAGTATTTACCCTTACTTCGTATTATTTCATACAATAAATTAGCCAGTATCAACGTGACAAAAAATGCTTAACAGATTTATTAAACTAATCTTTCATGAATTTTCAGATTTAATCTTATAAAGCTTCCTTACTTTCTGGTACATTATGTGTTCCATGTTCACCTTGCACCTTCCTGTGCCAGGCAAGGGTAGGCCTACTCTGCTAGGAGCCCTGATTATTTTTACTGTTATATCTCATTTTAGTCTTAATAACCTTGGGAAGTGGATTAAGCAGGGCTTAGACTCATCTCACACCAGTTGCCAGTTAGTGGAGGAAGCAAAGGGGACGTTCAGAACATGTGCCTTGGGCGGGTATGAATGAAGAGCCTCTTTTCACCTAGAGCAGGAGTTTGGTCACTACTAAAATGATCCCTCTTTTGGCCTGAGGCAGGTGTAGAGCTTGAATCTGGAGGTCATCCAGGTCAGCTGTCTCTCGCTCACAGTCCTGTGGTAAGTGAGGTACAAGGGCCAGGAGCTGCTGTGGAAGGAAGCACACAAGCAAGTGGTAGTACAGGACCAACAGTCACTGCCACTCCTGTGAACCCCTTGCTTGGGGGTGGTAGTAGGTTGTGAAAAGCGCCATAAGAGAAACAGGAGAGATGTAGGGAGCTGATGGTAGTTGAGACATTAGTCAAGGAAAGCTAGAGAAAGTGCCATTTATGTTCAAAACTGAAAATGAGGAATCACCTTTGAGAGGGGCTGGGGAAGAACTTTCCAGATATATGGAACAGGAAAAAGCTGTCCAAAAGCTGGAGGGAAGTGTGGTGAGTGTCTTGAGATGAAGTTGTTGAGACAGAAAGTGGCCAAGTCTTGAATGTCTTAGGTTGTGGTAAAAACTGGTTAAGTGTAATGGAAAGCCATTGAAGGGTTTTAAGCAGCCTCACTGCATGATCTAACTCACATTAAAAACAAACTACATGCTTTGATACAGAAAATAGATTATCCTTTAGATTCTGAAAAGGATTCAAATGCAAGTGATGACAAAAGATGACAGAGGAGGTTGTGTCCCCTTATGTGAGTTATAAATAAATCCTTGGCATAAATTTAAATCACCCTTAGAAAACTAGACATGGCTTTTCCTTTTCATTACTACCCTCTATTCTCTCAAGAGAAATTCAAACTTTATTTCACCACTCAGTCCTGAAGTTATAGAACTTAATCATAATTTTTTAAATTCCTGCAAATAAATGCTCGGACAAGAGCATGTAAGTGCACTGAAAAGTTTGTTTCTGAAACTCAGGCTGATCATTCCCAAGTCTGCTCTTTCCTTAAATTCCTTTTCGTTCTCGGGGCCCAGGTCCCTTTAGCATGCCCTCTCATAGAGAGGTAAGTTAGGTCGGTTCAGGCCTTGAGCTCTGCTATGTATGTCCCAAGATAGCTGCCCATCTTCAATCTCGCCTCCACTAGCTACTATCAATTCAGATTTGGAAGCACTGTCCTCAGGATGCTGGTTTTAGCTGGTCCACTGGAGATTATGGGGCACTCCCAGGAGAGTTCTTTCCCACGACGACTTCGAGCCTGGCCCCTTGCCCACCACGTGGTAGTCTGGCCTCCTAAAAGCTTCGCCCTAAAATCAGTCCGAAGCCTAGGCCGGCTGAAGGAAATGAAACAACACGCCAACATCCCTCTCTTGCACACTCTTCAAGATCGTCTAGAATTCCACCTACCGGTATTAAGAGAAGAGATATGGGAACATATGTATATGTATAACTGATTCACTCTGTTATAAAGCAGAAACTAACACACCATTGTAAAGCAATTATACCCCAATAAAGATGTTAAAAAAAAAAAAAAGAGAGAACATAACCACAGGTGGCGCGGAACGCCCTCGGGCCAGAGGACAAGCCTGAGCCAATGCGCCTGCGCCCGGGCTGGCCGGGGGCGGAGCTTGCGTGCTGACGGAGAAGAGCCATGCGTGGGAGCGTGCTTGCGTAACGGTTCAGGGAGTAACTAGCTGGGCTTCACACCTCAACGGAGTTAGCTGTCTTTTTTTACTGGTGTAACTTTAAAAAGCAGCCTAACGGCCGTACGTTACACATTCAGCCTGTTGCGCCACGCTAAGCGTTTGTGAGTGACTGGGACTGGAGCGAAAATGGTGGCTGGGGGCAGGGAGAACCTTTAAAAACCTGTTGGTTCCCCAATCCCTAATACGGATAGATAGACTGGTCCGTGTACCACCCCTCGACCAGGAATTTTTTTCTTTGGCTTCCCCCTGCTCCTGGCTCCAAAATTCTGCAAACTCAAGAGGTAGTTCCTTAGATGTTCAGTGTGATTAGTACATCGGTAGGTATGAGAGTGATTAATTCAGGGACTTTGATTTCACTGAAATTGCATTATCCCTATCAGGTTCTCAAAATGTCAACTGTCAAGGAGCAGCTTATTGAGAATCTAATTGAAGAAGATAAAGTCTCCCAGAGTAAGATCACCATTGTTGGAACTGCTGCTGTAGGCATGGCTTGTGCTATTTGTATCTTATTGAAGGTAAGTGATAAGCCTATACTGTGGCTAAAAATAAGTAGGCACTTATAGGTCTTGTAGATGATCATGAGTGCAGGGTTGCAGGGTTAATCCCTTGGAGCAAATAAGTATCATCTGATTTTTACACAATTTAAGAAACATTTATTTGGAGTTTACCATCTGTTAGGCATTGCCAGACTATTTAAATTTATTCCTAGGAGACACACTGATTATATTATTTTGTTAACAGTATAAGATTTTCTGTTAAAGTGATTCAGCACTTTGTCTTCCTTGAAGAGCAATGGGTGAAAATCATATTTCCCAATGGCTTATACTTCAAAAAAATTTTTTTAAATTATATGAGCATTACAGTCTCATTATAAAATAAAAAGTACCAAATTTGATAAAATAACAATGGAAGTCCTTTAATTTTCCTTTCTGTTTCCAGAATATCTTTTCATGTACTTGTTGGCCATTTGTATAGCTTTGGAGAAATGTCTGTTTCAAATCTTTTGCCCATTTTTCTTTTTCTTTTTTATTATTATTTATTTATTTATTTATTGGCTGCACTGGGTCTTTGTTGCTGCGTGCGGGCTTTCTCTAGTTGTGGCGAGCGGGGGCTGCGCTTCGTTTTTGTGTGTGGGCTGATTATTGCGGTGCACGGGCTTCCCATTGCGGTGGCTTCTCTTGTTACAGAGCACAGGCCCTAGGCGTGTGGGCTTCAGTAATTGCAGCACACGGGCTCAGTAGTTGTGGCTTGCAGGCTCTAGAGCGCTGGCTCAGTAGTTATGGCACATGGGCTTGGTTGCTCTGCAGCATGTGGGATCTTCTCGGACCAGGGATTGAACCCGTGTCCCCTGCGTTGGCAGGCAGATTCTGAACCACTGCACCACCAGGGAAGTTCTTTTGCCCGTTTTTAAATTGGTGTTTTTTTGGTTTTGAGTTGTAGGAGTACTTTTTATATTCTGAATATTAACTGCTTATCAGGTAAATGGTTTTCAAATATTTTCACCCATTCCTTGGGTTTCCTTTTCGCTCTGTTGGTTGTGTCCTTTGATGCACAGAAGTTTTAAATTGTAATGTAGTTCAGTTTATCTGTTTTTACTTTTGTTGCCTGTGCTTTTGGTGTCATATCCAAAAATCATTGCCAAATCCAATGTCATGAAGCTTTCCCTCTATCTTTTCTTGTAAGAGTTTTATAGTTTTGGGTCTTACATTTAGATCTTTGATCCATTTTTAGTTAATTTTGTCTATGGTATAATGTAAATAGTCCAACCTTATTCTTTTTCATGTAAATATCCAGTTATCCCATTTGTTGAAAATGTTGTCCTTTCCCTATTGAATGATCTTGGCACTTTTGTCAAAAAATATCTGACCATATATGTGAGAGGTTTTTTTCCCCCTGGGCTCTCTGTTCTATTCCATTGGTCTGCATGTCTCTTTATATTAGTACCACACTGTTTTGATTACTGTAGCTTTGTAATAAGTATTGAAATCAGGAAGCTTGAGACCTCCAGCTTTGTTCCTTTTCAATATTGTTTTAGCTATGCAGAGTCTCTTGAGATTCCATATGAATTTTAGAATGGAGTTTTCTTTCTTTTTTTTTTGCAGTATGTGGGCCTCTCACTGTTGTGGCCTCTCCCGTTGCGGAGCACAGTCTCCAGACGCACAGGCTCAGCGGCCATGGCTCACCAGCCCAGCCGTTCCGTGGCATGTGGGATCTTCCTGGACCGGGGCACGAACCCATGTCCCCTGCATCGGCAGGCGGACTCTCAACCACTGCGCCACCAGGGAAGCCCTATTTTTCTATTTCTTAAAAAAAAATGCCATTGGGATTTTGGTAGGGGTTGCATTAGTCCTGTAGATTGTTTTGAGCAGTAGTGATATCTTAACAATACTAAATCTTCCAATCCATGAACATGGGATATCTATTTATTTGTGTCTTCTTTAATTTGTTTCAGCAGTTTTGTAGTTTCCAGCATTAAGCTTTTCACCTCGCTAAATCTTTTAAAGGTATTATTTAATCTTTATTACAACCTTAGGAGGTAGATACTGTTATCATCTCCATTTATAAATGAAAATACTGAAGCACAGATGTTGAATAGCTTGCTCATGGTCAAATGGCCAGTAGGTGAAAAGGCCAGAATTCAAAACTTGGCAATCTGGACACATATCCTATACTCTTAAAAGCTTTACTACATTATTTAGACAATTTTTAGAAACCTGCATAGGGAGATGATGAGAAGAAGCAAAGCCAGTTAAGTTCCAGAACCCCAGAAAGGCTCAGGAGTTGGAAGTATCAGTTACCTCACAAGACGGAGCTAAAGGATGGGACTAAAAACAGGAGGATTGGGCTTCCCTGGTGGCACAGTGGTTCAGAATCCGCCTGCCAATGCAGGGGACATGGGTTCAAGTCCTGGTCAGGGAAGATCCCACATGCTGTGGAGCAACTAATCCCATGTGCCACAACTACTGAGCCTGTGCTCTAGGTTCCATGAGCCACAACTACTGAGCCAGTGAGCCACAACTACTGAAGCCTGTGCCTAGAGCCTGTGCTGTGCAACAAGAGAAGCCACCACAATAAGAAGCCCGGGCACCACAACGAAGAGTAGCCCCCGCTCTCTGCAACTAGAGAAAGCCCATGCCCAGCAACAAAGACACAATGCAGCCAAAAATAAATAAATTTATTAAAAATTAAAAAAAGAAATAGCAGGATTAGTTGAAAGTTTATGAGAAGGAAAACCACCAGGTTCCTTCTGCACCTTAATCAGCAGGCAACCACCTCTCACATCCCAGCAGACAAGGGGAAGGAGTTTATTCTTTGTAGAAGTTTAACTAGACAGGCTCTGCACTCAAGATAATCAAAGACAGTAGAAGACAAACATCCTGTTGAAAGCAGTAGAATTCATTGAACGTCTACATGTTCGACAGTGAGGCAAGAATCTTCTTACTCCCTCTGGGCTGCTAGATAGCAGACTGTCAGACAAAGATGGAATATATAAAAGAGATGGAATTAGAGGGTCAGTCAGGAGGTCCAGTAGTTGAGTGACATTTCAGTAAGAAATAAGAGAGGGAAGAAAATTATTCAAGAGATAAAAGGACATGAGTTTGCAGATATGAAGAATTCACTGAGGGCTCAGCACAATGAATCAATAAAAGCCTACTCCAAGGAATATTATCATGAAATTTCAGAACTCACATTGTACGAGAAGGTCAGTTTTTAGAGCCCATTTATTTTCTAGTAGAATCCATTGTACCCTGGCAAATGTCCAAATGAAGGAGAGTAGTTCAGCACCTTGTCTTCAAGTCACATTGATGTAAATTGTGGGATAAATGGAAAGTGATGAAAGATATTAAAATATTCATATTCATATAGTCCACTGATGTGAAGGGACGTAAGGGCTGTAATGAATACCATGACACCTCCATATTTCATGAAAGGTGGACTTAAAGGTTTTATCAGGACATGTAAAGTTTTTAGGAGTAGATAGCAGTACAACCTACTTCCTTGTCCTGTACAGAGCAAAGTGCCCATAGCAGTTTTCCTTAGATTAATTTCATTTTTCTATCTCTCTACCTTACTATGGTTACTCAGGACCTCCCTAGAGAAAAGATCCTGGGATACTCTTAACTATTCCTTTAGATTCTGATAGGCTTAACAATCCCAGGCTCTCTATTTGGAATTGTATTTGAGAAATGACTCATATAGATGTAGTTAATTCTTAAAAAACAAATAAAAACTTTTAGGGATTATTTGAGCTCCGTCTTTGACAGTCAAGACAAATGGGGATGGAAAGATTCCCTTGAGAGAATTTTCTGGTGACCTGTTGAGAAGGGAGATAAATCAAGTTGGAAATATAATTTAAAAGCAGGCTGTGTTGGTTATTAACTTACTGGCACTCAGCTCCAAATTCAACTTTGTATACTCTGCTTTGTGATGCTGGTGCTGGATCTCCACATAATCATTTTCTCCTTTTCCAGTTGGCATTTTGTTAGGTTCTGCCAATACGGAACACTAGAGGAAAGTTGGGAGGCAAGAGGAGAACCATGACCTGCTGCTTCCTGTTTGCTTTTTGTTCTGTTCACTGTCATCCCAGCTGTATCCCTTTGTCCCAAAGGTAGCAGTTGGTTCTAACCTCCACTTTCTTTTGGAGCCACCAGCATTGACCTCATTTTGTCCATTTAGTGGTATGAGCAGTAGGCAGATTTTGCCTCTTCCAGAGTCTGAGCCTAGTTCCATGAAGCACCTCCTTTAGACTCTCTGCTTCCTCAGCCTTGGGGGTGGTAGCTTCAAGCTGCAGTTACTATCTCTGGGTTACCATAATGTTCCCCTTCTGTTCTTTCAGCCCTTCAACATCTGTCTAACCAGTTCCCTATATGAAATTCCTTCTGTTGAAATGCTTAGAGTGGTTTCTGTTTTTCTGTCCAGACCAGACAGATACACAGATGTAAAAATGGATCTGTAAGCATGATCTGGTTTTCTTATCAGATAGCTGAAAAGTGATATATGATTCTTTTGGATGAAACTCCTTATCCTTATCCTATTCCTGATGTATGACACATAAATTAGTAAATTTTAGAACTTAACAGTTTTCCAGAAAGGCCAGATGGTGCCTGATATGGAGGGTGGGGTGGGGAACAGTAGTAAATAGGGACTTTGATTCCTTTCCCTTACTGTTCACCTTTGGAATCTGGCCACTGGAATCTGACGGAATACATTCCTTCTTCTTCTATTTTTTTTTTGCCACATGGCATGTGGGATCTTAATTAAACCCATGCCCTCTGCAGTGAAAGCACAGAGTCTTAGCCACTGGACCGCCAGGGAAGTCCCCTACCTTCCTTCTATATAATTCTATATTCTGTTGCATGTGATGAAAGCCCAATAAATTAGAGTATAGTATAGTATATAGAGACTGTGTATTGTTCATGTAACTGGAAAAAATCTCAGTAGAGCTAGCTTCAGATATTATTAATTCTGGAATTCAGACATATCAAGACACAGTCTCTGCATATCTTAGTCTATACTTCCTCTGTTGGCTTAATTCTTGGACAGGGTCTTTGTATATGGTGGTGAAGATGGCTGTACAGTTTGTTCTTAGAGTCTTATATCATTAGAGCTTATGATTGCAAAGAAAAACGAGACTTCATTTCTCATCTTCCATTTTCTAACGTCATAGACATTGTGCTCATTTGTTATGCCTGGGCCATATACCCATTTGTGAACTAATTGCTGCAGCCAGAAGGAAGGATGGAACAATTGGTTGGGTCTGGTGTATGCTTATCTACCCCTAGGTTGGAGGGTGAACGTTAATTGTAATATACTGAGCCACATGAAATGGTTTCCCACAGGTGGCTACCTTTATATTTTGGCCATAAGCATTCATACTAAAAACAGCTTCAGCCAATTCAGAAATTAGGCATAAGGGTTAAATATAATAAAAACCTTTGAAAGGATTTCATAACTTTTCATTCGTTTTATACTGTCACCCGAAGTGGAAGAAAACCAATTCTAAAAAACTTAACAATTACATGAAGGCAAAGCAACTGATAATTTTTGCTACATTCTGTTGTTTACCTTAACTTCTGGTCTCTCTAGGCACATTAAAAGACTTTTCTTGGCCATACCTTGCAGCTTGCAGTTCCCCGACCAGCGATTGAGGGATTGAACCGGAGCCACAGCAGTGAAAGCTCAGAATCCTAACCACTAGGGCACCAGGGAACTCCCATAAAGACCATTATTTTTATACCACTTTTTCTATTAAAAATGTAACACTCCTTTGATTATAAAATAACCACACAAAATTTTTTCTCTTTCTCCTAAAATAGAAATGGGAACATTTTATTCAGGACTTTCATGTATTTTAGGATGTGGCTGATGAGCTTGCCCTTGTTGATGTTGCAGTGGACAAACTGAAGGGAGAAACAATGGATCTTCAGCATGGCAGTCTTTTCTTTAATACTTCAAAGATTGTTTCTGGAAAAGGTTAGTTTTATGAAGTTATTTTCAGAGCTTTAAAAACAAGTAATGAAGTTTATCAAACTGTTGTCAATAAATATAAAATTTAAAAATAGCACTATTGTAATTAGGACATATTGTTTAGAAGGTTAATTTTTTGAAAAAAAACATTCCAGGGGCTTCCCTGGTGGCGCAGTGGTTGAGAGCCCGCCTGCCGATGCAGGGGACACGGGTTCTTGCCCCGGTCCAGGAAGATCCCACATGCTGCGGAGAGGCTGGGCCCGTGAGCCGTGGCCGCTGAGCCTGCGTGTCCGGAGCCTGTGCTCCGCAACGGGAGAGGCCACAACAGTGAGAGGCCCACGTACCACAAAATAAAAATTAAATAAAAAAAGAAAAGAACATCCCATTCTAATTGGAGAAAATTTGGTAAATACAAAAAAAGTATAAAGAAAATTTTAAATCTCATCTGTTAATGGTTTTGTTTCTTTCCTTTTTTCATTTGTTTTTTACACAACTGACATATTATATAAATGCTTTTTTTTTTGGTGGTACGCGGGCCTCTCACTGTTGTGGCCTCTCCCGTTGCAGAGCACAGGCTCCGGACGCACAGTTTCAGCGGCCACGGCTCACGGGCCCAGCCGCTCCGCAGTGTGTGGGATCTTCCCGGACCGGGGCACGAACCCGTGTCCCCTGCATCGGCAGGCGGACTCTCAACCACTGCGCCACCAGGGAAGCCCTATAAATGCTTTTAAAACTTGTCATTCAGTCTTATATATTTTCTCAAGGATATGCAGTCTTGAATAGTTTTGTAATATTACTGATACATTTATCTATATTCTTTAACCTGTTTTTTTGATTTATTTATTTATTTTTGGCTGTGTGGGGTTTGTTGCTGTGCACAGGCTTTCTCTAGTTGCGACGAGCGGGGACTACTCTTCGTTGCAGTACACGGGCTTCTCATTGCAGTGGCTTCTTTTGTTGCGGAGCACGGGCTCTAGGCTCGCGGGGTTCAGTAGTTGTGGCACGCGGGCTCTAGAGTGCAGGCTCAGTAGTTGTGGTGCGTGGGCTTAGTTGCTCCATGGCATATGGGACCTTCCCGGACCAGGGCTCAAACCCGTGTCCCCTGCATTGGCAGGCTGATTCTTAACCACTGCGCCACCAGGGAATTCCCTAACCTGTTTTTTTGATGTGTGTTTTTAGAGGATCAGGTTTCAGGGTATAGTTTGAGGCTATAGAAGAGGAAATGGAGAGCTTAGCCCCAGTAGCATTAGCATCATGTGTTGGCCAACTAAGAAGCTTAGAGTATTAGGAAAAATAACTTTTATCATACACTGATGTATGTAGTGTGCTTTTTGGTAATGTGATTCAACAGATGTACTTTCTACTAGAATCCCTCTTATCTAACATGATTGGAACTGAAAGTGGTTACTTAATTTAAAAATGCCTGTTAGAAAGAACCATCATAAAAGTTTATATTGACCTAAACATGTTAATGTACTTAGAACTTCATTTGCTGATTTTCTGATTGTAGGGCAAGGACTTCGAGTATGGCTCAGCTGATTGGAGTTTTGCAGTGTGTTTTTTATAGCACACCAGTAGTAATCATTTCTATTTCTTTAGAATACTGTAATTAATTTAAAGATACTCATGAAGCAGTCTAATCACAAAATTCTATTAAATTTTTATGGTTTTTCTCCATTTTTATTTCCCTCATACCTAAGAGGAAGATTTTTAAACAACCTTCTTTTAATATGTCTTTCTAAGGCATTCAACTTAATTTTCATAGTAACAATCATTAAAAAAATTAATTATGAAATACTTCAGATATAAAAAATTTTAAGTATAACAAACATCAGTGTATCCAACACCCAGCAAAAGAAATAAAACATTACCAGTTCACTTGATACATTCTGTGTGTTACATCTATTCATATCTCAATCCTGAATGTAGTGTTTACCTTTACCGTGTATTTCTTTCACCCTCATATTTTAGTGATTTACATCATATTATATAATTAATAGATATATCTGGCATAAATATATTTGGGTATAAGCGTGACAGATTCTTGATATGCAGCAACTCATGAGCAGAAGTATACAGATGTACTAGACAGAAGTCTGCTAGTTGAGAGTGTTCAGTGTGCCTTGGGTATCAGTATGTTTTACATCAGTTAATCTGTTGAGCTTATTGAGTGGAGTCAAGTTAAAAGAGCTACTCCTATATTAAAATACTTTAAAAAATCATTCAGCCTTTAATTTCTAGTCATATGGCAGGATAAGTACCTGAATCAATCCTTTTAGTAAAGGGGAAGAAGTAAAATTATAAAAACATACTTTTTGATTTTATAAAAAATCAAAAAGAAGATAAATATAAGAAGAGGGACAAAATATAGAACTAAATAAGAGTTTAGCAAGGATGCCAGACACAAAATTATTAACTATTCATAATTATTAACTATTAATATTAACTATTATTAATTATTAAAAATCTATTCAAAAACAAGCAAAAAACTTTAAAGGTATTATTTATGTTATCAAATATAGGAAGTACCTAGGAATAAATCTAACAAGACATGTATGAGCTTTTATGCAGAAAATAATACAGCCTCATTGAAAGATGTTAAATATCTAAATAAATGAAGAGATATGCCTTGTTCATAAAAGTCTCAATATTGTAAGATGTCTGTTCTTCCCACATTGATTATAGATTATATGCAATCACAGTCAAAAACCAACAAGTTTTATTGTTGTTGTTGTTTATTGTTGTACATAATAAACTAATTCTAAAATTCATTCAGAAATTCAACGGTCCAAGAATAGACAAGACACTTTTTTAAAACATTGTTAAAAACACTTATTTTGATACAGTCTATCATAAATAAGTCAGTAGAGGTTCCACTCTGCCACAGATGCAGCTGTGCAGTGAGAACCCTGTGCCATCCAACTGGTAAATGTCTGAAAGATGTTCCATTTCACCTCCCAGGCAGAGTGCACACCTTCCATGCTCTTCCTGTCCATTGATCGCTTCCAAATCCAGATGACCAAATAGTCCTTTATCCCCAAAGCAGGTTCAAAACAGTAGGTTCAGGCATTCTTCTCAAATCCTGGGTAAATCTTAAAAGGAACAGAGCTCCAGTGGATGGCACAGTGCCCACCCTTGAAGAGCTGCTGCAGCCTCTTTGCTCAGCTTCACCATGGCAACAGCCTGGGCTGCGCAGTCAAGAATACTCTTGAAAAAGAACAAGGTGGTGAGAACTTGCTTTACCAGATATCAAGACTTATTAAAAAGCTACACTAACTAAGTGCAGAGACCAACAAAAGATTGTTATATAACACTGATCATATTGTAGATCAGTGGGAAATTTGCAGACTTATAAATTCTTTTTCTTATGGCAGTAGTTTTTATGGAAAGAAATAAAATTGAACCCTTTCCTTTTTTAAAAAAAAAAAAAATTATTTATTTATTTGGCTGCAACGGATCTTCATTGCGGCATGCAGGATCTTTAGTTGCGGCATGTGAGATCTAGTGCCCTGACCAGAGCTCGAACCTGGGCCCCCTGCATTGGGAGCACAGAGTCTTAGCCACTGGACCACCAGGGAAGTCCCCTGAACCGTTTCTTGGTAACACACACAATTCCAAATTGGTTAAAGACCAAAAATATGAAAGGCAAAACTTCAAAGCTTCTGTTTAGAAGATAACATAGAATATCTTTATGACCTCAGGATAGGGAAGAATTTATTAAACACAAGGACACAAAAAGCATGAACAGTAAAGGAAAGAATATAAAGTTTAGTGTTTATGTTCTTAAAAAGGCACTAAAAGAGTGAAGAGACAAAGTGTAAACTGAGAGAAAACATTTGCAACATAGACAACTGGCAAAGGAATAGTGTTCAGACTAAAAGTACTTGTGTAATAAATAAGATAAATATAGGTAGCCCAACAGAAAAATAGGAAAAGACTTGAACATTTCACAAAAGAAGAAACTCAAATTGCCTATAAATATAGGAAAAGACAATCTCATTAGTAACCAAGAAAATAAAAAGTATATCAATATACCATTACACACCTATTAGATTGGCAAAAGTGTGATAATATTAAGTGTTTGTCAGGATGTGGAACAATAGGTTTTCTCATGAATGACATGTAGAAATGTATTATAGTAAAACTACGTTTTTTTTTTAAGCTTGTCGTTACCTGGTGAAGTTGAACAGGAACATATCCCAAACCTAGAAATTGCACTCGTAGGTATATTCCCAAGAGAAATTTGTGTACATGTGCACTAAGATACATGTTCAAGGATGTATAGTGTTGTCATTTGTAATAGTCCCAAACTGGAAATAATTCATTTTATAACAATACTAAGTTGATCAATTATGCACTGTAATATTACACAGCAATGAAAGTGAATGAACTACAGGGACACACATTAACATGGATAAATATCAGATAATATTTATCTAAAGTAATACATACCTTAATATTCAAAACAGATAAAACTTAATATGTTATTTGAATATGAATAGGTAGTAAACCTTTTTAAGGTTTTAAGGTAATATGAGACCAGAGTCTGTTATTATGGATCTAATGATCAAGTTAGGGGTATAAATACAACATAACCACAGGAAGATAACCTAAGGCACTATAAATAAGGACTATGTGAGAATTATAGGCAGTAAGTGCTATAAAAATTCAGTGAAGTCAGAGTAGTATTTATGAATGATATAATTAGGGGATGCCTGGCAGAGGAATTGGTATTTGAAGAAGCCTTTGCTCCAGACCACTATGGTTTGCTGTCTCTGGGAGGACTGAGTTATATTTAGAAAGGAAAATAAATAACAGGTAAGGAGATGATGGCATTAACAGAATCAGGGTACCTGGAATATCTGAAATAAAAATAAGACACAAAGCTAGTAAGTTAACTTGTTGGCAGATTGTGAAAAGACTTGATATTTTACTCTGGTATACACTTTAATTGAAGTTGTCGGACATAATATTTCAAATAGTTGATCTGAGCTATGGCGAGATGATTCTGGAGAAGTTGTGAGGTTTTTTGCCAGTTTATTCTCTAAAAGTCGAGGGGGGAGGAGGGAGAAAACGAGGGCCTGGGATAGAGAGTTACAGAGAGAGACACGGAGGTTGAGAGATTACTTTGGATTTCTGTGGTTAGATAAGACTTTATGGAAGATGATGTCAAGCAAGATCTTTGAGCAAGAGTGAGTAGACTATGTATGCAGAGAAAGAAGAGAACTCCCTCCTGTAGATCTTTTTTTTTTTTTTTTTTTTTTTTACCTATTTTATATATAATAGTATCTGTTAATCCCATACCCTTAATTTGTCCCTAACCCCTTCCTTCTACCCTTTTGTAACCACAAGTTTGTTTTCTATGTATGTGAATCTTTCTGTTTTGTATATGCATTCATTTGTATTACTTTTTAGATTCTACAAATAATATACAGTATTTGTCCTTCTCTATTTGACTTATTTCACTAAGCATAATATTCTCTAGGTCCAACCACATTGCTGCAAATGGCAGTATTTCATTCCTTTTTATGGCTGAGTAATATTCTATTATATATATGAACCACATCTTCTTAATACAATTGTCTGCTGATGGGCACTTGGGTTGCTTCCATGTATTGGCTATTGGAAATAATGCTATGGACAATGGGTGCATGTATCTTTTCAAATTAGTGTTTTCGATTTTTCTGGATATATACCCAGGAGGGGAATTGCTGAATTATATGGTAGCTGTATTTTTAGTATTTTATGGAACCTCCATACTATTTTCCACAGTGGCTACACCAATTTACATTCCCAAGAACAGTGCATCAGGATTCCCTTTTCTCCACATCCTCTCCAACATTTGCTACTTGTAGACTTTTCTTAATATTGGAGTATAGTTGATTCACAATGTTGTGTTAGTTTCAGGTGTACAGCAAAACAATTCAGTCGTTATTTGTAGAATTTTGATGATACCCGTGTCCCCTGCATCGGCAGGCGGACTCTCAACCACTGCGCCACCAGGGAAGCCCTGTGTAGATCTTTTATTTGATACAAGGGAAAGATAATCTCTTAGATTAATGTGAAACTTGCCAGCCTAAGAAATGAAATTCTCTTAAGTTTGTCTTTCTAATTAAAATCTTTACTGGGGCAGGAAAACCATTCAAATGTTTACGGTTTATAAATTGGATTAGAAAGATATAAGAATGATCATAGAGATGCAATAGTATGTTTAAAATCAAGCAAATTTCCTTTTCAAAAGAGCATAAAAATAAGTTTTTTTAAAATGGAGATGGCATATAGAGATTTTAGCTAATTTAGTTTTTGACATCCAAATAGAAAATAACTTCTAAGTATATGATAGTTTTTAAAAAGTCCAGTATGGGATAGTGAGCATTGTAACATATTGTCGTTGTTTTGTTTTTCTTTTAATTTATTTATTTTATTTATTTTTAAAAATTTTTGGCTGCATTGGGTCTTCGTTGCTGCGTGTGGGCTTTCTCTAGTTTCAGTGAGTGGGGGCTACTCTTCGTTGCGGTGCGTGGGCTTCTCATTATGGTGGCTTCTCTTGTTGTGGAGCACGGGCTCTAGGTGCACGGGCCTCAGTAGTTGTGGCTCGCGGGTTCTAGAGCGCAGGCTCAGTAATTGTGGCACACAGGCTTAGTTGTTCCGCAGCATGTGGGATCTTCCTGGACCAGGGCTCGAACCCGTGTCCCCTGCACTGGCAGGCAGATTCTCAACCACTGCGCCACCAGGAAAGCCCCTGTCATTGGGTTTAATAGGTGAAACATTTTACAACTGGTCATCAGATTTAGAAGGTAATTAATTTTCTTGTGTGAATCAAGAACTTGTTTATGATCTCAAATACATAAACAAGTTATAATAATAATTTTAAGTAAATAATGTAAGTAAATACATTCTCACTCTTCGAATCATGAAACACACATAAATTCCCAGAGTTCTAAGCTTCTGATTCATATGGTATTTCTAAAAATCCAGAGAGCTGACTTGCAGTGCCTCAGGCCTTAATAACAAATGAGAATGTGGGCTAAAAGCCATGGTAGGTTCTGTTATTATTATTTTTTTAAAAAGCCATGTGAACATTGGTAAATCATAGTAACAAAATTTCCTTCAGATTATACAAGATAACATTACTGTATGGAAAATCTGTTCATCTGCAAATGCCAGACATGAAGGTAGTACTTTAATACCATCATCATACAATAGACTTTTAAAGAATTAAAGCACAGTGATTATGGCAGTCTTGACCAAATAGTTTCTTTTGTTTCCTTCTTTAGATTACAGTATATCTGCAAATTCCAAATTAGTTATTGTCACAGCAGGTGCACGGCAGCAGGAAGGAGAAAGTCGCCTTGACCTGGTCCAACGTAATGTGAATATCATGAAATCAGTCATTCCTGCCATAGTCCAAAATAGTCCTGACTGTAAGATGCTTATTGTTTCAAATCCAGGTGAGTCTCTTCTACTCCGTTTAACTGCATAAGGATGATATTTCCATACCATTCCTTTTTTTTTTCTTTTTAAAACAATGTCAGTTAGGTAAATTTATGACAATAAACCGCACCCATCCAAATACACAATACTTTGTTTTTTTCCAGCTTTACTGATATATAATTGACATATAACATGTAAGTTTAATGCATATAACGTGGTTATTTGTGGTGGGAGCACCACAAAAGAAAGGAGAGAGAAGATTCACTAAGAGAAGATTTACTCTCTTAGCGACTTTCAAGTATATATATAAAATATAGTAGTGTTAACTATAGCCGACATTAGATCCTCAGAACTTATTCATCTTACATCTGGAAGTTTATATCATTTGACCAACATCTCCCCATTTCTCCTTTCCCCTAGCCTCTGGCAACCACCATTCTATTCTGTCTTTCTATGAGTCTGGCTTTTTCAGTTTCCACATATGTGATATCATACAGTATTTTTTTTCTCTGTCAGACTTATTTCACTTAGCATAAGGCCTTCAAGGTCCATCTGTGTCACAAATGGCAAAATTTCCTTCTTTTTTGTAGCTGAATATTCCACTGTATATCTATATACCACATCTTCCTTAGACATTTATCTGTAGATGGACATTGAGGTTGTTTTCATATCTTGGCTATTGTGAATAATGCTGAAGTGAATATGGGAGTGCTGGTATCTCTTTGAGATACTCCTTTCATTTCTTGTGGATATATGCCCAAAAGTGGGATTGCTAGGTCATATGGTAGTTCTATTTTTAATTTTTTTGAGGAACCTCCATACTGTTTTCCATAGTGGCTGTAGCAATTTACATTCCCACAGGCAGTGCACGAGTGTTCCCTTTTCTTCACATCCTCGCCATCATGTGTCCTCTTGGTGATAGCCATTCTAACAGGTGTCAGGTGATATCTCACTGTGGTTTTCATTTGTATTTCCCAGATGATTAGTGAAGTTGAGCATCTTTTCATGCACCTGTTAACCATTTGTATGTTTTCTTTGGAAAAATGTCTGTTTGGTTCCTCTGCCCTTTTTTTTTTTTTTTCGGTACGCGGGCCTCTCACTGTTGTGGCCTTTCCCGTTGCGGAGCACAGGCTCTGGACGCGCAGGCTCAGTGGCCATGGCTCATGGGCCCAGCTGCTCCGCAGCATGTGGGATCTTCCCGGACCGGGGCACGAACCCGTGTCCCCTGCGTCGGCAGGCGGACTCTCAACCACTGCGCCACCAGGGAAGCCCCCTCTGTCCATTTTTAAATCGGAATTTTTAGTATTGAGGTGTATGAGTTCCTTAGATGTTTTGAATATTAACCCCTTATAAGATACATGGTTTGAAAATTTTTGTTTGTTTGATGTAGTCCCAGTTATTTATTTTGCTTTTGTTGCTTGTGCTTTTGGTGTCATATCCAAAAAAATCATTGCCAAGACCAATGTCAAGGAGTTTTTCCCCTACATTTTCTTCTAGGAGTTTTACACTTCCAGGCTTCTGTTTAAAGCTTTAATCCATTTTGAGTTGATTTTTGTGAGCAGCATAAGATATGGGTCCAATTTCATTCCTCTGCATGTGATTATTCAGTTTCCCAACACCATTCATTGTAAAGACTGTATTTTTCCACTGAGTATTCTTGGCTCCCTTGTCAAATATCCGTTGACAGTATCTGCAAGGGCTTATTTCTAGGCTCTCGATTCTGTTTCATTGGTCTATATGTCTGCTTTTATTCCAGTACTATACTGCTTTGATTACTATAGCTTTGTAATATAGTTTGAAATCAGGCAGTGTGATGCCTCTAACTTTTTTCTTCTTTCTCAGGATTGCTTTGTCTATTTGGGGTCTTTTGTGGTCCCATATGAATTTTAGGATTGTTTTTTATATTTCTGTGAAAAATGCCGTTGGTATTTTAGATTGCATTGAATCTATGGAATGCTTTGGATAGTATGAACATTTTAACAATATTACTACTTCCAATCCATGAACATGGGATGTTTTTCCATTATTTGTGTCTGCTTCATTTGTTTGCATCAAAGTCTTATAGTTTTCAGTGTGCAGATATTTAATCTCTTTGATTAAATTTATTCCTAAGTATCTATTGTTTTTGATATTATTGTGAATGGGATTGTTTATTTATTTTTCAGGTAATTTGTTGTTAGTGTATAGAAACACAACTGATTTCTGTATTTTGTATCCTGAAACTTCACTAAATGTACTGATTAGTTCTATTAGTTTTTGGTGGGGTCTTTAGGATTTTCTATAAATAAGGTCATATCATCTGTTATCAGAGACAGTTTTACTTCTTTTATTCTAATTTGGATACCTTTTCATTTTGGCTCCTGCCTTATTGCTCTGGCTAGGACTTTTCAGTACTGTGTTGAATAGGAGTGGTGAGAGTGGGAACACTTGTCTTGTTGCTGATCTTAGAGGAACAGCTTTCAGGTTTCACCTTTGAGTATGTTAGTTGTGGGCTTGTTATATATGGCTTTTATTATGTTTAGGTACATTCCTTCTCTACCCACTTTGTTGATATGATATTGACATGAACAGATACTGATTTTGGTAATTGCTTTTTCTGCATCTATTGCGAAGATAATATAATTTTTATTTTTATTCTGTTAATGTAGTATATCACATTTATTGATTTGCATATGTTAAAACATCCTTACATCCCAGGGATAAATCCCACTTGATCATGATTTATGATCCTTTCAATATATTGTTGAATTTGGTTTGCTAATATTTTGTTGAGAATTTTTGCATCTGTATTCATCAGGGAAATTGGCCTGTAGTTTTCCTGTAGCAGCCTTATCTGGTTTTGGTATTAGAGTAATGCTGGTCTCATAAAATGAGTGTGGGAGTTTTCCCTACTCTTCAATTTTGGGGAAGAGTTTGAGAAGGATTGGCATTAATTCTTTAAATGTTTGGTAGATTCACCAGGGAAGCCATATGGTCCTGGACTTCTCTTTGTTGGGAGATTTCTGATTACTGATTCAATCTCTTTACTCATTATTGGTCTGTTCATTTATTCTATTTCTTCATTATGTAGTGTTGGTAGGTTTATGTTTCTAGGAATTTATCCATTTCCTCTAGGGTATCTAATTTGTTGGCATATAATTGTTCATAGTAGTGTCATGATCCTTTGTATTTGTGTGGTATCAGTCGTAAGGTCTCTTTTTTCATTTCTGATTTTCTTTGAGTCTTCTCCCTTTTTTCCTTAGTCTAGTTTGTCAATTTTAACTTTTCAAAAAACCAGGTGTTAGTTTCATTGATCTTTTCTATTGTCCTTTTAGTCTCTGTTTAATTTATCTCCACTCTGATCTTTGTTATTTCCTTCCTTCTGCTAACTTTGGACTTGGTTTGTTCTTCTATTACTGGCTCCTTGAGGTTGTTTATTTGAGGTCTTTCTTTTTTCTTAATGTAGGCATTTAATGCTGTATAGACTTCCCTCTCTAAGAACTGCTCTTGCTTCATCCCATAAGTTTTCGTATGTTGTGTTTCCATTTTCATTTGTTTCAAGATATTTTTAAATTTCCCTTTTGATTTCTTCTTTGACTCTTCGGTTGTTCAGGTGTGTGTTGTTTAATTTCCATATATTTTTGAACTTTCCAGTTTCCCTCCTGTTAATTTCTAGTTTTATAACATTGTGTTTGGAAAAGATACTTGGTATGTTTTTGTTTTTGTTTTTGTTTTTTTTCTTTTTGCAGTACGCGGGCCTCTCACTGTTGTGGCCTCTCCCATTGCAGAGCACAGGCTCCGGACGCGCAGGCTCAGCGGCCATGGCTCACGGGCCTATCCGCTCCGCGGCATGTGGGATCTTCCCAGACCAGGGCATGAACCCGTGTCCCCTGCATCAGCAGGCGGACTCTCAACCACTGTGCCACCAGGGAAGCCCTGGGATCCTTTTTTTTTTTTTTTTTTGATCCATTTTTATTGTACAGTCAACGACCTCTCCAAATTTGGTAAAATATCCTTTAGGTCCTTTTCTTTTTTTTTTTTTTTTTGATCCATTTTTATTGTACAGTCAACGACCTCTCCAAATTTGGTAAAATATCCTTTAGGTCCTTTTTGCTGGTATCCCAGCTCAGGCCACCAGTGAACAGTTTTCCTGCATCCTCCTCATTCTTGCTGACGTTTATCTGGTAGCCCTCCGTGCCATTCTGGTTGCCAGCCTGGGGCGCCGTGCTCCCGCCTTCAGCACCCACCGTGACCCCAGTGCCGGCCGGCGACTTGCCTTCAGTGGTGGCCTCGTGTCCGTTGTCGGTGGCGCCCATTGTCTCCATGGGCTGCTCCTCATCTGCTTCCGACATGCTAGGCCGTGGCATACGGCTCCAACCCAGAAGCTTGCCCGGGCCTGTGTGGTGCCTCCGCCTCTAGTTTTTTTCTTATAGTGACTTTGTCTGGCCTTGGTAAATGGGTAATGCTTAGAATCAGTAATAATGGCTCCACTTTCATTTCTGATTTTAGTAATTTGAGTCTTCTCTCTTTTTTCTTAATTCATCTAGCTAAAAGTTGTCAATTTGTTGATCTTTTCAAAGAACCATTGACTTTTTTCTATTGTTTTTCCATTCTCTATTTTGTTATTTCTGATCTTCATTATTTACTTCCATTTGCTAGATTTGGGTTTAATTTGTTCTTTTTTTTCTAGTTCCTTAAGTTGTAATGTTAGATTGACATCTTTCGTGTTTTTTAATTTAAGCATATATGGCTATAAGTTTAGCCTTTAGCACTGCTTCCTCTCTGACCAATAAGTTTTATGTTATGTTTTCATTTTCATCCATCTCTAAGTATTTCCTAATTTCCATTGTGCTTTCTTCTTTGATCCATTAGGTTGTTATAGAGTGTGCTTTTTAATTTCCACAGATTTGTGAATTTTCCAGTGTTACTTCTGTTATTGATTTCTAAATTCACCTCGTTGTGTCAGAGAATATACTTTGTATGATGCCTGTCTTTTTAAATCTATTGAGACTTAATTTGTGGCATAACCTATGGTCTA